TGATGCTACATTCTAAACTCGAATGTCCCCTCTACCAACAACCTCCCATAGATTATTGTCACACAACAATGGAATCGGTGATATGATAGGATTCCAAATTCTAAGAGGAATTTCTTCATCCATACTACTTATTTGATGGTCTCACTTATAACAATGTGCTTGGCCTCGGCCGTAGACTATTTTTCTTACTACATAGAGTCTCAAAATATCCAAACATAGACTTTTTAGTATCTGGGTTAGGCTGGAAGTCGGCATTAGTATGTCCGACCATCTGTAGTGAACTACCATCTAAGACAAGACAATAATCTTTAGTCCTCCGTAGGTACATTAGTATGTTTTTCACAGTAGTCAAATGCTCTTGTCCTGAGTAAGATTGCTATCTAATTACAACACTAACAACCTGAGCAATGTCTGGCCGAGTATACAACATGGCATACATGATGCTCCCTACGGTTGAGGCTTAAGGAACCTCTCTCATGTCCTCAATCTCCTCAAGGGTCTTGGGTGAAATTTCTTTGGAGAGAGTGACTCCATGCTTGAAAGGAACAAATTCCTTCGTGGAGTTCTGTATGTTGTATTTGTTGATGATCTTGTCAATGTAAGTAGATTGGGATAATCCAATTATCCTCTTTGATCTATCTATATAGAGTCAAAGTCTAAAGACATAAGAGGCTTCTCCAAGATCTTTCATGGAGTATTACTATGAAAGTCATACATTCATCGTAGTTAACATTCCTACATCATTCCCAATAAGTAGAACGCTGTCTACACACAGAATCATAAATGTAAGCTTATCTCTCACTATCTTTCTATAAACACAAGGTTTATCCAAATTTTGCTCAAAGTCAAACTGTTTGATTGTTGAGTCAAATCGGATGTTCCAGCTTCTAGAAGCATAGCCACAGGTGAGAAGGTCTTCTCATAATTGACTCCTTCTTTCTTAGTGTATCCTTTCGCTACAAGCTGGGTTTTATAGGTCTCAATTTTTCCATCAGGGCCCTTCTTCCTCTTGTAGATCCACTTGCAACCGATTGTTTTCACCCTAGGGGGCGGGTTTACAAGAATCCAGACTCCATTGGTTTTCATTTAGTCCATCTCGACTTTCATGGCATCTACTCACTTCAAGGAGTCTATGTCCAACAAAGCTTTCGTATAAGTCAGAAGATTTTTCTCACCGCTCGTAGCTTCCATCAAGTAACTTTCTTCTAAGCTAGTTTAGATTCCAATTTATCCACACTTGTCATTTTGACGTGTGTTGGACAACCCCATATTTTCAAGTGTCTAACACTTGGTTTTTTGTCGGTCCATAACTCATAAGGAGTCTTAGGAACTGACTTAGTTGAAACCCGGTTCAGTACGTAAATTATAGTCTCCAATGCATGCCCCAAAAAGGATATAGGTAACTTTGAATAGACGATGAGTGATCACACCTTATCTAATAGAGTCTTATTTCTTCTCTCTAACACACTGTTGAATTGAGGTGTAACAAGAGAAGACAAATGTGATATAATCCCATTGTCCTTTAAGTAGTCCATGAATTCGTCAAAGAGATATTTACCTCATCGATCTGATCGAAGGGTTTTGATCTATCTCCCCAATTGTTTCTTGACTTCTTGTCTAAACTACTTGAAAGTTATGAAATAACAGTGTTGGTTCCATGTCCTAACATTCATGGAACCACATACATCTGCATATATAATGTTAAGTGTGCCTGTAGATCTTTTGGGCTTACCCGTAAATGGCTTTTTTGTCATCTTGCCTTTAAGGCAAGTCTCACAAGTTAGTAGATCTTTCACAATGAGAAAATTTAAAGGACCATCATTCACCAATCTTATGATACGTTCTATATTTATATGACCAAGTTGATATTGCCACAGGCATGTGGGATTAACTATATCACATGTTATTTTCTTGGGGATGCATTCTGACACAGTTTCGGTTATATTTCTATCTATAAAAGGATGAAGGAGATAAAGACCATTATCAAGTTCTCCATGAGTAAGGAATTTGTTATTCAATTTAATTGTAATCTTATTACTAAACAAAATAGAATAACCATCCTTACACAATTTAGAAACTAAAATCAAATTTCTTCTAAATAATAGTACATAAAGACAATCTTTCAATGTAACAACTCTAAAAATCACTTTAATCAAGTTCTTAATGCAATGTTAAGTCTCTAGAGGATAGGTATCTCATCCAACCAACTACTGAAGTTTCACTAGAGATTAGGAATAAGACAAACTTATGGCCTTATTTTAAGGTAGCAATCATCATTTTTATTGTTTTGGTTGATATATTAGGTAGTATAAAACAAAGTTTCATATAGAATTTTTTAATGAATGAGAAGATTGTATAAGAGCAATTGATGAAACACACATCCTTGTGGAGGTACTGATTGTAGATGTTGCTAGGTTTCAAGGACACAATGGTTATCCTACCCAAAACAAATTCTTGTATGTTAAGGTTTGCTCTCACTAGAGAACACCGACTTGAGGTGCCTAAAGGTAGCATCCCAAATCAACTAGTTTTTACAATTTTTTTTATAGGCAATGTTGTTAAAATAGTTTTTTTTTTATCGATAGGGAAAATCGACCTTCTGGATGCGGGGTTCACATTGAAAGTTGGCTTCATTACGCCATATTGGAACACCCGATATCATTTAAAAGAGTGGGGTTCATGCCAACCTGAAACCAAGGTTCAAAGTATCAACACGTATCGGCCCGTATCGACCGATACGTATCGTTTCGGGACCCCTCCGATATGCCCCTATAGTGGGTGTATCGGCGGTCTAACTGGTTCAGGGGATGGAGAAGACCTAAATCGGCCCCCTTGAACCAGTTTCAGAAAAAAATAAAAAATAAAAAAAACTAAAAAAACAATATCAATTCGCCCGATACACCTGTATCGATATTTTGAACCTTGCTTGAAACTGCCAAAGATCTATTTAATCTTTGTCATCCTTCATTAAGAAATTTGATTGAATAGATATTTGGAATGTTGAAGAAGTGGTTTCCCATCTTGGAGTCTATGCAACATTATCCATTTGAAATACAAGTTAAGATTACACTTGCTTATTGTATCTTACACAACCATATGATGGGTATGAATTCATGCAACTTCATTATGAGGCAGTACAATCGAGAAACAAAGAATATGAAATTAGAGGGAGGTAATGAAGATGGTGTTGAACTTGAGAAAGATGATGATGAAAGACAACTAAGAAAACCTTTACATCTTTTAAGTAGGATGAGGTAATGAGACAAGGAACTCACTTGAAAGAAGAAATAACTACAAAAATGTGGGAACATTACCAATTACAATGCTCTCAAAGAAGACGTTGATTTGATTTTTATGATTTGAAAATGATATTTATAATGCTCTCAAAGAAGACGTTGATTTGATTTTTATGATTTGAAAATATATCATATAAACAATGACTATTGTCACATCATCAAAATTTGATTATTAATTTTTCATATATTTTCCTTGCCTCACCAAACAAGGGAAAATTAATTTTCTTACTTTTTCCATTGGTTAACCAAATAATGGATGGAAAAAATTTTTCTTTTCCCTTCCTTTCCTTTCCCTTCCCCTCATTTTCTTCAAACCAAACACAACTTAAATGATAATAATTTATGGATTCTAATTGGACCCAATTATGATGGCATCTAAATATTTGTTTGGATCTGAACCCTAATTGGGCCACGTACAGTGAATAATAAGTTGCAACAAAAAAGACCTATTATAGTTTTACTTTTACAGGCGAAACCATTCAAATGGGGGGACCCCAACCCCTAAGGCTAAGGGGGGTTAGGTCAGGTGTGATTCCGAAAAGAGGTAATGATCATGCGGAAAATAATTCAGATATAGCCTTATCATCATGCCGACCGTTGCCCTTTAGTTTATTGCTGTAACACACGGACGAAGATTATGAAAAATATTCCCTGTTTCAAACAAACCTCAGCAACCCAACCCCAACGGATATTTCCAGACTTTTACCAATACCAATCGAAGGATAAATTACTGGAATTGACTTTGACTAATAAAAAAAAAAACGAAACGGTCGATTCACAGTGGATGATCTATTTATTCATTTTTAATTTCTTCCAAGTAAAAATAAAAATAAAAATGTAAGCGAATGCTAAAAAAAAATCAAAGGCCGCTAAACACACAAACAAAGTGATGACAAAAGTCAAAATCCCACATTTGTTCGAGGGGTATAACTGACATTTCAGCTGTTAAAGAGCACCGACAAAGGCACAGACCCCTGTATGGTTGAAAAGTGAAAACACTGATGGTGGCCCACTTGATAAGTTCATCAAATCCCGTTACTACCCGGGTTCTCTAAATCTGTAGCCCCATGAAACCAAATATAAAAAGCGTTCATTATAGAGCAACAACTTTTGTTGAGAGGGGGGAAGGAAGAGTTCAGATCATCTGTGATTCAAAAATCAAAATGACATTAAAGTCCAAAACACTCTTAATAAATATGTGAAATCTGCCTGACAAATGTCTCACTCAACGAGCACAACCCACCATACATACACACATGGCCCACAAACTTGCATATCATAAAACCATCCAATCGGTGGTCCACCCTCTCTCACTCAACGCTCGCTCAGAGTTCAAAGGTTGTTGCCAGGAGAAGAGCAAAAGAAGCATTTGGTCATTTTGGTTAAACTTGCTGCATCGGTCTGGCATGAAGCGGTGGGGGCCATCATCCAGCCGACCGATCAAAAGCTGGGGACGTTGCTTTCCAGCCGACCGATGCGCCGCACTGAAGCATATCCGGATTCCAGGAAAGAACGATCAATACCAAAGAAGAAACGAGAATCAGAATGAGACAGATCAATAGAACAAACAGAACCACGTTTAGAAATCCCTGAACCCCCGCAGAGATTGGGGCCCATCTACCTTCCCCCCCACATGGCCTCTTGTCAGATCTATGCACTAAATGTGTCTGGAGACATATCAAGCCCATGCCCATGCCCATCAAGAACACAAATCTCACCATTCGATATACGATAAAATAGTAGAACGCGCACTATCCGATAAATAAAATTCTCAAAAATACAACACTACAAATGACTGAAATGTGATGAGAAGGAAAAAATACAGAGTTGCAGACATCACAAACCACACAAGCGAGTCCCCCCACTGCGCTCCACTCCTCCAGTCCAAGTGGCCTTTCCTCAAATCCCAATATAGAACAACCAGAACTCGACATTGCTGTAAAATGCACAGCTACTCCCAAAAATTAACAGCAAAATTAAAAAGCCACAAAATCAAAATAAAAAAAAAAAAAAAAAGATCTCTAATTCTAACTAAAATAAATAACACAAGAGAGGGAAAAAATGAGCGTTAACGAAAGCTGGCTTTTACGATAACATCGCCCAAGCAACGAAAGCTGCCGAAGCGGCAACTAGAGTTTTTAACAATGCCGGAGCTTTCAAGTCTGCGCCACCGGAACCAGATCCCGTACTGCTGTTCTCTGACTGGGCCTCTGGTGCGCCTGCTGGCCCTGATTCTGGAGATGCCATCGGGGGTGCCGGCGGGGATAGTATCGACGGAGATGGAGCGGAAACAGCAGGGGCCGGTGCAGTGCTTGGGGTTGGAGAGGGAGATGATACTGGCTCGGGTGCCGGTGCCGGGGACGGTGACTTCCCAAACAACTCACTTGGAAGGAGAAGGTTGTCAACGGTGAGAATGCAGAGAGGGGGATCGTCCACCACAGTTGAAGCAACCCGAGATGAATCGACGCCGGTGTGCAGTGTGACGGAATCTCCGGCTGATGTCACGGTCAGGTCGTACTTGCCGGCGCCGTTAGTCGCCAATGTACTGATAGGACCCTTGGCCGTCTTCAAACTCCCAAATGGATTATACCGGGCCAATGCATGATACTGCAGCAATGTAACCAACTCGGCGTTGGTTAGTTTACTGAGATCTGGTACACCGGCGGCTTTGAAGGCCTCATCGTTCGGCGCAAACACCGTCAAACCCTTGTCGAGTGCGGACTCGAACATTTTCAGAACACCAGAACTAACAAGCAGGGAAGCGAAGGTCTTGCACCCGGCCTTCTCGAGCTTCTGGGTAATGTTGACGTCGGCGGCGGAAGGAGCGGGAGCTGTCAAGATGCCCGGGGCGATAATGGGAGCGCTGATCTCAAGAACAGAGATGTTGTAAGGGATCTGCTTAACACTCTTGGTGTAAGTGGAGTCGAGCTTGGATCCAGGAGCGGCGGAGCCGAAGCCGACCTTACCACCCTTGAGGTCGGTAATGTTGACAAAACCGAGATTTCCATGGGCATCACCGGTAACCTGGTAGAGAGTGGTGGTGAGGGTGGTTCCTTTGGAGATCTGGTGGAGCTTGGCACCATCATAGTAGTCGAGAAGGACGAGAAGGCGGAGGACATTCTTGACGACGGAGAGGGGTTTGTTGGCTGCGAGAGCAGACATGGCTGAGTTGGGAAGAACCAGGCACGTTATGGTTTCGCGAGTGTTGATCTCGTCGGCGAGCTTGGTTCGAGTAAGGTAGTCGTTCATGGCGCTGTACTCCGGGAAACCTGAGAGGATTTCAGTAATGTTGTGGGCTGTCGAGGGAATGACGAAGATAGAGAGGGAAAGGAAGAGGAGAAAGAAGGTGGGCTGAGGAAAACCGCCCATGGCTGATGAATCTCTGTTAGCCGTTAGGGCTCGGGAGTTGGGGTGAGAATGGCGACCAGTGTCTGAGAGGAAGAGGCAAAGACGAAAGGGGAGAGATTGGGTGCTAAATATGGGTTGGTTTGGTCTTTGGTGATTGTTGGGGGAACTTGTGGGGTCGAGGCTTTGCTTGGCAGCTTGGACTTGAGGTTAAGATTTAACTCTGGTTACGAGAGATGGGTTAGCCAAGGTTAGTGTGGATGCCATGTGAATGTGATATTGATAAATGATAATTGCCCAAATCGAGAAGTCCTCACTAGTCCTTTGTTCACAGTTTGGAAATTAGATGCCTTTGGATGCCCTTCTATTTTTTTTTTTTAATTTCATTAATGATACTCAAAAGGAATTGTGTATCCTTTACTTTCTTTTTTTTTTTCTTTTTCTTTTTTGAAAGTTTATGCGTACAGTTGTCCATTCATGAGCGGGACTCATCATATTTGGATGGGTCCAGCTTGACAGGAGAACAAAAACTGATTTGACGATCATGATCGTTCAATTTATGTGCTCCCTCTGTCTTTCTCTATAAAAGAACAGGTCGTTGGGTCCCAGTGGCCAACTCACACTCTTCACTCTGCGTTAAGGGTAATTTTGTCCAGGTAAACTGCATTGAGAAGTGACGTGTTGGTTCACGGTTTCACGCAATTGGTACAACGCGAGTTCCACTGTCGGCGTCCGTAGGTGATCACACATTCACACGCGTAGCCAAACATCGAAAAAGAATCTGTCATTCCGGTTTCCTCTTCTGTTTTCTTCTTTCTTTTGTCTTCAAAACTCAAAACTCAAAAGAAAGAAAGACTCATCGCTGCAGTGTAAAACCGGCCGGGATGGGCAATTGGGCATGGTCAAAGTTTACGGTACAAGAACAAAGGCGTGATGGTTTGGACATTCTAAGGCTGCATTTGGCTTGTAAATATATCATACGCTAAGAATTAGGGTCTATGCAAAATTGTAAATTCGGTATTCTTATTCCATTTTGGGCTACGTTTGATATATGAAGCACCATTCTAACATGGAATAAAGAAATAGAAAATTAAAAAAAAAAGGAGAAAATATTTAAATAACTAAATATTTGAAATAGCAAAATATTTAACAAAATTAGATTTTAAATAGTTAAAATAAAGAAATTATGTAATAAATTTAAAAAAAATCTGAAAAGAAGAAAAATAATTATAACATAATATTGAAATTAATAATAATTTAATATTTTACATAATATTGTAAATAATTAATTTCACTTATATCAAATAATAATACAAGAAAATAACTTGCCAAAAAATTAATATTTATTAATAATAATTTTAAACTCTTAATCAGTATTTATTATATAATTATATATACTAAAAATAATATTTATGGTATTTCATTAATTATTTGTTGTTTTTTGTGATAAATGTGTTTTCAATGATTATGTATAAATTTATTTTGTTTTGTTATTTAACAAAAAGCTTTCAATAATTATTGAAGATTAAACTATTGTTATTTATGAGAGATGAGACTATTAATTTAGCTGAAATTATGAGTGTTCATTAGTTGGTTTGATTCGGTCGTAGGCTATTTGGCCAACCAAATTGAATTGGTCAAGTTGGGGAGTTTGTCAACTGAAACCGGTTGACCTTTTGTGAAAATCGAACCACTCAAGTTGTATCAATTTGGGTCGATTTTTTGGTTTGGTTAGTCCATTCAAAAGATTTAAACTTAAAAATTAAATTAAATTTTATAAATTACATTGCAATTATTAAAAAATAAATTTAAAAAATAGATTTATGATATAAAACATTTTAGATTATGAAATATGGGAAATTTCCCACTTTTTCATAATAAAAATTATATTTAAAATATAAAATATTAATATATATCCATGGTTAAGTCGTTCGATTTTGGTCAATTTACAAATAGCCAAAGTGAAGCTGATCTAACTTGGTCGAATTGGGAAATTTTGAACCAAAGCCGACCTAAAATACTAGAAAACCGACTAACTCGGGTCGAGTTGATCGGGTTGTTGGTTTCATCATTTTGATGAATAAACCTAACTGAAATTAATTATTATTATTTTTGTATTATAAAAAAATTATTAAAAGTAGTATATAAAATATGAATAATTATTAATTATTTAAAAAGTTGAAAATATAAAACAACTGTATACTCTTATGAGTTCACATATGTGCCCCACAACATCCCATAGCATGTCCCCGTCATTTATTGGGAACACCTCCCGATGATGACATCATCGGTTCTGATACTATCATCGGGAGATGTTCCCAATACACGGTGGAGATGTGTTATGGGACGTTGTGGGTTGCCCCCTTGTGAGGCGCAGATGTGGACTCTACTCTTATGTGTTTCTATTAGGGTCATTTACTAGAACACACCTTATAGTTTTACATATTTACTTAAATCTACCTTATAGTTTTTATTTTACTAAAACATCTCAAATATAGCCAATAGAGTGGTTGTCCGTGTCTTATTAAGGAGTGTTTGTTTTTCCATTAGGCCCATGATTTTTTATTCCAAAAATATCCTTAACACTTTTTTTGTATATAAAACAAAATTGACCAAATATAGCTAAATAGAGTGGTTGTCTTTGCCTTATTAAGGGCAAAAATGGTATTTTAATTTTTATTTTCTTTTGACTAAATTTATTTAAATGAGCCTTAGGGCCAACATTGTCATTTTCCATTATCATCTAATGGAAGATTGATTAAATCTATTGCAAATTATAAGTGGTGTTTTAGTAAAATGCTAACTATATGGTAGATTTTAGTAAATCCATGAAACTATAAGGGTATTTAAGTAAATGACTCTTTCTATTATTTAACTTTTGCTTAATAAATCTCATGCATGGCACGGGTCCCCGCTAGTTATTTATTGAAAATCATTATTTATTTACCCTAATATTTATACTTATGATAAATCTCTTAAACTACCCCTATTAATTAGCTAATTGACATGTGGTACCCCTACTGTTTAACTATTGTCTTGCGGTACCCTTAAGTTTTCTGACAATTGTCATCGTCGTTAAGTGATAATGGAAGAAAATGAAATGTTGAATTTTCCCTTGTATTACTAGAACTACTTCGAAAATTGTTTTTCCAATAAGTTTGAAATGGTAGAGCTTTTGATCCGATGCCCCCATTTTTCTATTACCAGAACTACTTCGAAAATCGTTTTTCTGGTGAATTCGAAATAGCGGAGCTTCTGATCTGCCTAAGCTTCTTTTTCTGTTCACTGTCAGGCCATTGCAGCTCCCCTCTCTGTTGATGATAACAAGGGAGCTGTAGTGGCGGAGCTCTCCTCTTAACAGTGATGGTGGTTGGGGAGAACGACTGTGGAGGAGCTCTTGTATGAGTGTGCACCCATGAGCTATTTAGTGTAACAGGCCGACGGCAAAGGTTCAGACGGCCATCAGAGAGTACTTGATATCCAACCGATGGAGGTAAGCCCAACCATATCTACTTTTGAGCTTTATTCTTCTGAACCAGTTGTCTCTTTTGCTTATTACACTAAGCAATTAGTTAATGGCCATGTAATCTTGATTGCTTTTGCAGATTCTATTGGGAAGAAACTAAGTTTATCCACAAACTATTTCTCTCCCAAAAATAAAAACTTGTAGATATTTAGCTATCACAATTCCAAGCAAGATATCAACAAAAACAATCATAAGCCAAGCAAAGAGAGACACACGATATTTAACGTGGAAAACCCCTCCAATGTGAAGGGTAAAAAACCACGGGGCCAAGGAGACCCAACCAAAAATCTCCACTAAAAACTTGAGGTAACAATTACAGCAACTCAAACACCACAATATGCTCACAAACTTAGAGCAAATACAGATTCTCAAACATACAAACGAGAATACCAAAAGCGGTGAAAAAATAACAGTCAGAAAAACTCACAAACGCGACTACTGTTCAGGCCACACCATGGAGACCTTCACTATTCCAAATCAGATCTCCACCGTTCAGATCGTAGTTCTGTGAGTTTCGAACAATCCCACCAAATTTCAGCCAAATCGAACCACAAATGACCCTTGATCAGTGTAATTGAGGAAGACTGCCGCGAGATATTTTCTTTTCCCGAACAACTACAAGTTGCTTCTGTTCGACTTCAAATAACCGGCGATTCAGAACTCCGATCAAAGATCCGACCGTTCAGAATGAATAAAAATGAGTCATCCACTTACTGTCCAAATTTCGGCTCGATCGGACGGTGGATCGGAAAGTTTCGGCTGTTTGATGAACTCTGCACACTGAGAAATCTGCACAGTATTTCGATTTCTCTCTTTTCCTCTCTCTCTTCAACACGCCGCGCGCAAAAAAGATCTAACCCTAGTTTTTGTTTTTCGTTTTTGAAAAACAAAAAAAAAAACAGTTGGCTGAAGGAGAGTGGGCTATAATATGGGTCAATATCCCATAATGGGCTAGGCCTAACAATTCTCCCCCTCCAACCCATGAGAGAAGGGAGACACTTCAAAAAAGGCAACTATGCAAATTTAAGGCCGGCTGCTCCGGCACACAGTTCAAACTTCTCTCGAGGCACCACTTTGTCATCATGTCAGCAGCATTTTTGTTAGTGTGAATCTTTTCAAGTTCAATCAACTTGGAGTTCAAAACATCTCGAATCCAATGATATCTTACATCAATATGCTTCGATCTATTATAAAATGTTGGATTCTTACCAAGATGAATAGCACTCTGACTATCACAATATAAGACATACCTCTGTTGAGTGAAACCAAGTTCATGCACAAACTTTTTCATCCACAGCAACTCCTTACATGCTTCAGTAAGAGCGATGAACTCAGCCTCAATTGTAGACAATGCAACACACTTCTGCAACCTAAACTGCCAGGCCACAGCTCCCCCTGCAAAGGTAATCAAATAACCAGAAGTAGACTTTCTAGAATCAAGATCCCCAATCATGTCTGAATCTGTAAAACTGCAAAGAATAGGTTTCCCAATTCCAAAACAGAGTTTTAAACTAGAAGTACCCCTGAGATATCTCAATATCCACTTCATAGCAGTCCAATGTTCTCTACCTGGATTGAATAGAAAACGACTAACAACACCAACTGCATGAGCTATATCA